GAAGACCTGCTGCTGCAATAGTACACATGAAAGTTGTAGATTCTTTCTAATTCCTTATGAAATAAAACTGATAAAAAAAATAGTAGACGAGTCGATGCATGATTTCAGGTGAATACTCCTATTAGTCCGTTGCTGCTTAGAGAAGCTGCGCTGGTTTTAAAGTACGCTACAGATGAGACTTTAAGACCGGCTTTTATTACAGCCTTTATTAATTAACTCAATAGACAGCCTGCACACGATGTGTATCTAATCACTGATGCTCAGAAAGAACGATTGCCGTTTTGATTGCCCATAGACGTCGGACCACCTCTGGGCGTAGCAGTACACATGGTTTACCGGGGTTAATGATCCAGCCATCAGCCAACCTGGCTCAATTAGTTCAAGCTAAGAAGGTCAGGGATCCAAATGAAATTTTGTTTCGCTACAAAGCAGAGCTCTAGCAAGCAGCATTACTAAGTGGAGGCAACGAAGTGAGCCAAAAAATTCGTAAAACTAATAAGAACTACCTTCCTTGAAAGGCGCGTTCGACGTTTCTCTCGTCTCATAAAGGGCGAAGAAATGAAATAAAGGCTTACTGAAAACTATTTTAATATATTTAATATATTTAAATTAAAAAAATATTCCCAGTTCTGTAGAAGAAACAGCCAATTAAGAAATACTTTGCAAGCTAAAGTCCTTGCTTCAAACTATATGTTACAGAACTTGAAAGAATTACCGTATCTTTTATATCGTGTGAAGTATGCCTGCTATAGGATTCCACTGTAACGCATGAAACAAGTCCTGTGATACGCACGTCATATAGTAGAGAATCCACTAGAATTGTATTAAACCAAATTCCTATTAAGAATCGCGGTCAGATTAAGGTGTAAAATGGCGTAAATTTCGCGGGTGATACAGCTAAAAAGCATCGACTGCTAACTCCTGTGGTTTACCACTAAATAATGGACAGATAAAGATATTCGAAATGTATGAAGTTTGATTGAAAATTGTGCGATTTTTAATTTTTTTTGCAAATATTTATTTGTTTGTCAATATTAATTTTATTCCTGTCAAAGTACTTCGCGCCCGCCACTATGCACTTGAGTGAACGTTTTTCTTTGCGATCGAGAAACCAATTACGGAATGAATATATTTTACCTCCCTTCGGACTTCATTTCCTGAATGTTATGAAAGAGTTGTCCTAGTTCAACGATTTACGATTTAAGAAACACGAGGAAATTTTATAGGTCATGTCCGACTGAGACAAGGAAACTGATACATCAATATGGTGTTGTTTCTCACGAAAGCTTCTCTGACAAGTAGTGAAGCGTATATAAGTGCATTATCGTGATGCACCCGGCAGGAATTGCTACTTCTTAAATCCGGTTGTTTTTTTTTGGATTGATTCCCCAAAATAGCATAGAATTTTCAAGCAGTACTCTTTATTGATGGCTCTACTCTACAGTAAGAACTCCTGAAAAATTACGCCGTTGAAATCGAACATAGTAACCAGTACCTTCGTCAGGAAGCCTCCATTGGTATGATTAGGTTTTAGTTTCAGTACAATATTTATATAGCCGCCTTTCATCGTAAGTTACGACCACTATGATCAGCTACTGCAATATTTATTCGGCACTGTTTGTGGTCGAAATCAACAACTCAAAGATGAACCGGGTAGCCATTTATTTTTGTTTAAACATCCGAAAAAATCACTTGCCATGAGCCTAATGATATCCTAACATAATCAGAAACCTTTTTAATAGTGATTTGGCAATTGTCCATAGCTATTTCCTTAATTTTTTAAACGTTGTGGATCTGCTGAAACGTCCTTCAACTTCTTACTGACCTCTTTGGAGACGCTTGTTTGCGTAATAGCGCATTTGTAAAAAGTAATGTTCAACATTTCCAATGCGGTACTTTGATCCATTCTTAAAACCAAATTTAATGCACACGTTGCGTTTCAGTTTCGTCACAATTTACAAATCGCCGAGTACACAAAAAGGTAACGTTTTTGAATATCAACGATCAAATAGTGATCGAAAAATTTCAATTACGACCAATGTGTCAACACATCGGCAAAAATAACTTGGTAACTGCATTGACACAGCCAACGTAAATAAAAAATTGCGGTTCTTTTCTATGAAATCTAATATATTATGCTGTCATAAGATAGCATTTTGACATAACTGCCTCGTAATTAATTACAGCGGGTTGACATTCAACGGCTCTGTGGCCAAGTGGTAAGGCGTCTGTCTCGTAAACAGAAGATCGCGGGTTCGAACCCCGCCGGGGCCTATGGAATTTTTAAGGTTTCCTCTTTTTAGGGTTTTTAGTAACCCTCTTCTTCATATGATTTACGATCACATTAGCTCTTGCATTGACGGGGTCCTTTGTGACAAAAGAATTAGCTTTTCTAATTTCGTAGTATCTGCTGTTTACAGTACTATAACAATATTAAATATTTACATTATTCACAATTACTATTAAAAGCCGGTCTGTTTAACAGAATACATCTGTGTGTAGAAACATTCTTTGCTAATACTTCGACAGTAGATGTCTTCAAAATAGCATGGCGACAAGTGATATTCTATGACGTAATGGATTTGTTTCATCTGGTTTCACGAACTAAATATAATTCACGTGTGCAGTTAGAGCAATCCAAATTAGAGTGAAATAAATAGAGAACGAATCTTATTGGCATATATGTGATGTCATCTGTAACGGCGGCCGAAAACAAACTCTTCAGCTATAGGCGTAATCCACATGTGAACGATTGGGATCAGGAGTTTAAACAGAAACTCCTTTTTTAGGTGATCATACATTGACATATTGAATAGGTATCAATAAGGTTCGAGTAAGGTCGATACAAGAAATCCCCCACTCTTCAGTCTATCCCACTTTGAACATTAATATCTTGGCAAGCATAGTTTTTTAGACTCGTCTACCTGAATGAGACGTCGTGAAAGGTTGTGGTAACGCTTATGTGTCACGGGGTCGAAGCTAACGGATTTCAGATGCTATGGACGATAGATCCTGCGACTCCATGAAGCGAAAATCTGGTCGAAGTATGAAAAAAATCAACATGCGTAATATCCTCAAATATACATTATGTGGTTCCCTTGAATATTGTTTCTAATGTTAGATCCCTTTAATTAGATACAGATCTTAAACGAAAAAAATATATATTTACAGTTACATCGTTCAATTGGCCCGTTCAGTCTAAATGCGGGAGTTTTCTTCTGAGCTCAACACATGCTCAGCCCAGCCCTTCTGCTTCGATGGCAAACTTGAAGACAGTTTTTCTAAAACATGCTTTGAATGTTGTGTCTATTAAGGGCATTAAGAGCTATTTCACGCGGTTAACGCCTCCTAGCATGAAATGAAGTGTGTCTACGCCTGGTTTTGCATCTTGACCATCACATCTCTCTTTAGTAAACAAAAATATACCATTATGTTGTCACGGGTACCGGTTCATCATACCGACAAAGTATGAGATAGAAGCCAGTGGCAGCCGCGTGTGCAGAAGTATATGATTTCGAGAACAAGAACACAGACCTAGATTCACGTCGGTTGCGTTGGTCTCTGACAAAGAGTTCAGGTTTAATCTCTTATATCGGAACAACATAACTTCACAGGGTAATGAATTTAGTAACGGCATCGGAGCTGAGAGGTTTTGGAAATGTATGAACAGATGTGTAAGTTAGTAGCAAAGAAATGTGCACCCAACTTTAATTGCCAGATTGTTACTGGCTCTTGAATGTGCATCGAATTACATTGAGCTTGGCCAAATGTCAAGAAACAAGCAAAAACAAACTTTACCAAAATTATCCAACCATTTTCAAAACGTTGTTATATTTGTCCAAAAACTCCCACCAAATCATCTTATTTGCAAAAACGAAGAGCTGCAATAGCGGCCAATGACGGACTGTTGTACAACTATGAATAAAACGCAAGGATTTTTTTCTTTCCGTCTAGACTCTTAAACAGTAGTCCTATGGGAAAAAACAGTGACTTGACAGACGATGTACTTTTGTATTATTGAAAGGGTTAATTAGCTACTGCAACAAACAGACTTTGTTATCAGGTACCAGAGCATTGGTCTCGCAAATAGAAAATCGCAGATTTGAACCTCGTTAAGGGTTGAATATTTTTAGCTCTTGAGGCTAATTTTGCAACCTTGCGGTTGCAATTTTAGTTTTCTCAAAAGTTTATTCGTTTGTTAAATGCTATTTTTAATAATTCTTTACAAATATTACTTATCATACGTGTCCTCATGTGTATAAAGCCGTAGTTGGTTTATTTAAGATGAAAAAATTTTTTAGCCTTGGCGTATCTTTTCCAGTTTGTTGTGCAATCATCGCTCTTAAATACGATGCATATCTTACATTTCTATCGGTCGAATAGATTCAATTTAGGCTTTTCTTTACATTAAACTGTCAGGTTGCTTCTTCTATGAATGAGGATCTATGAATGCTAGAGCCATGCGGGACAATTCTTATACCCTTACACTAAACTTTATGATAATACGTTCTCAGATAACATATTAATCTTGGGTCCGATGACTGTATCTATAATGCACAAGTTCTCCAGAGATTTTTAACACTGTTACAAATACTGATAGTTAGTAGAAAAGAACAAAGGGTCTGTATTTGTGTTTTACTATAAAATGATTTATTATTTTAAGTTTACTTTGTTTTCATCATCATCGTTTTTATTATTTTAATCACATTTCGAATATGAAATCATAGCAACAACTATAACCGCTATGAGAAGAGTGATAGGAGCTCACTCACGACGCAACGTTGATTTCAACGAACTACAGTGACGTATAATATTACCATCAGCATAGCATGGCAAAGCGCTTCGGGAAAGCTCAAGATGGAGAGACACTGTGAAACAATTAATATGGATATGGTAGCAAAACAATCGCGCTAATCTGAAGTTAGTGCTACAATATAGTAATTTAAGGGCACATTTCTTGACAATACGATCGCTAATTTTCAATGAATTACATCGGTGAGTTCAAGTTATTTAATAATAATAGGCTTGATATTCAAGGTAAGAGGTGTAGATATCTGCATTATAAATGTGACTGAACATACATCAATAAAATCGGCGATTTTCAGTAAACGCCTTACACGCGAAACGCGTGAATAAGCGATTCGTTCATAGTAAGCCCACTCTTGTGATCTGTACAGCGGAGAACAGCCACAGCCAATTTAGTGCCTCCTGTTCAAGGGAATACGTCAAATTGGTACTTTTTTTTGACATGCATGTTTATTAGAGGTATAGAAATCAGTACAGGGCTACAATCTTACTCTGTTTTTCATTATTTCCTCCGTACCTAATCATTATCATAGAATTATTTAGTAGTGAAATCGGTCAGCAGATTTGAGCTACTGTCCTCGTTCTTATGGTTTAACCGAATAGCCAGCATGCAACAAAATGTTCGCCATTGTTGTGTGTCTCGATATATATGTATATATTTACACGGAGATATTGAAGTTATATATATATATAATAATAATGGGGGAAACACGTTCATAACGGAGCTGAGGTGACGAACGCTAACAGCAATATAACCCTTGACTATCAATGAAGAGGACTCGGTTCAATTGGGTTATATTATACATAAGTTGAGTGTAGAATTAATTTCTATCTTTCACTGCACTATCCTTTCTACACTGCTAATGACTCGTATAGAACAGAATTTGTACCAACGGTGTATAATAATAATCACGACAACATGAGGCACTTGACCCGGTTTCGGGTTAGTGGTCAGGATGTACCGAAACACGGTTGGTTCATTGCACATCTCCTAGTAGCTGTTGTCATATCATAGTATAATTGTTAATTAGGTTTATATAGTATTTTGATCTTCATGACAAAACTTGATCTTCTTAGATTAGTAAGTGGGTTGCTGTTAAATGTGTTACCTCTTTTCTAAACTATATATATATATATATATATATATATATATATATATATTGAGAAAAGAAATAAAATGATATTGTTCCGTTCATCACAATGTTATTGCTACGTATACATAGATGTGCTTATAGAAATGGCTAAAATTATTTGCTGAGCAGTAAGAATCGTTCGTCTTTTGCTGCTATTTTGAACAACAATATAGTGGCTTATTTGAAACGCATAAACATAATAGGCCTTTTTTCAGGTTAAGGGCAGTGGCTAATAAGAACACGACCATAATTTGCTTAAGGCAATTTTTAGCTGACGTCTTTTTCTGAACTTTTGCTACACTGAAATCAGCTGGTAATAATTATTCTGATTTTTTCGACCCTTACGATATTTTCCGCGTTGCTGCTCCGTATGGGATATCTGTCCCAATACCCACAGATATGCCACACGAAAATTACCGGGAATTTCACAGGACACCAGTTTTGCTGAACTTCGGCACTAACATCGCAATACTAACATCATAGCCTCGGCAGATTTTCTCGGCGTGTTTACTGTGCATAACGCCAGAAAAAAGATGACTCGAAGTCTGGGGCTTTGACGGGGTTCGAAGGTCCACTAATCATATTTTAATTGTTTTGTCAGTTGCATCTTCCCCGGAGAGTATTGTACAAATCGACATTTTCTTTTAACACTCGTTTACAATGGCACACCTTTTCAGAAACTTGTTGCCGAAGACTATGAGTATATAAATATATCGATGTGTTCTTCATTTGTGATCTTCAATGTCTAAATCAGCTGTACGTAGTTGGCTGGGAAGAGGCCAATACGATTCGTTTTTGGGCATCGGCCTCGCCACCAGCCCTCGTCGATTTCCTCAACATCGATGATGACGTCGTTCGGGTCAAACGAAATCTCATCGGTCTCGGCTATAAGGAGGTGAAGACAAAACGAGAACAGGAAGAGCAAAAACGGAGGAAAAGGCAAAACGTTTATTATGATGGCAGTAGTGTATATATTCATTGCCAAATTTTAATTGTTAGATATGTCTACTACCTTTGTATCCATCTAATGAACTCCTGCAAATCAGTATGCGCCCAACCTTGTAATATAATATCATTCACTCTCTGTCTCCAGAAATGATCACAGTTATGAGGGCAACGTGGTCAGAATGGCTAATGCGCATCTCATTAAGTGCATTGCCCTGGTCATAACTAATAAGCATGGTACCACACTGGTTCACATCTCAATGATTGCAAAAATTATCACCAGAGGCAAATATTCCTGAAAATGAGGTATTCTTATTATAGGATAGGGATATATAGGATAATACCTGGAAGTGTTAAATAAAGCGTTAAAAAGTGCTCACGGTTTTTGTGATGTGTGAATCTCGTTAATCGACACTTAGTCCAAGACCTAAATATTTGCTACGGTAAAGTCGGATTTTAACTAATGTTTTATGCACTAAATGTACAGGCTCCTTTGCCTTTAGTTCTAGATCGGTACTACTTTGACTTGGGTGCCAAACCCAATATCAAGAAGGACATTTCTATTACCTCTTCACTGTCAAAAAGAGATACCGCTGGTTTGAATTTAATATGCTGACACATCCCCCTCAGATAGAATCTCATCCGTGATTTAATGACTTGAAATCTTCACTCGATTTTGCCACTACAGATCTTACCTGCTTGATAATCGTAGAGGGCCACTGCACACTTGTTCTTAGAAACGTGTTGCGATGGCTCGGGTTTTGCAGCCACCTCATCGTAAATCGCTTCTTCCTCATTCTCCAGTGACTTCCGAGTTTCGTGTTCAGTCTCGTTCGGCCTCAACAATGGGTCATAGATCGCTGTGTACATCGCTGTCAAGCCGTCGCCATTGTTATTGTTATTATTGTTATTCACGTTTGTTGCCTTTGTGCTAAGAGAAACACCGATTGCTTCCTGGTAAAGCTCCTCATCGTCGACGGCCACAGCACTTACAACCTGGCTGTTGACAGCTGATGAAGCGCCTCGAGGCGAAGCTACAGGGGCGGGCACAGGCGTACTTGCGACAACTGAAGGGGGCGGCTCAGAGACTAGTGGCAATACGGGCATCTACCGAACAACAATATAAATAGAAGCATATTACCATGAGAGCTACATAGCTGGACATTAGAAATCGGACGTGTTATAATTACGAAATAGCATCCATGCAAGGAGTAACAGTTCAGTAGGCCGAACTATATCTTTCTTCGAGTTCTACCTCCAATACTACCCCTAGATATTTATTTGGATCGCTGGCTTCTCCCAGCAAAAAAGAGCGTCTATCTACGTCTTGTGTTAAAATTAACCTCTCTTACATACTTGTAAATTTAGTTGTTAATCATCCAACAATACACTATCACCAAAAGAGATTGCATAGTCGCATAGCATAATAATCGGCCACAGCCCATCATGCACTATGATAGTCACAGCTTACCCCCTTCCCCGCTCTGTTCAAAAATTTGTTCATTTTTTGCAAACCACAAACATACATAAACAAACTATATGTGTTTTGAAAAAAAAACAAGCCAAACAAGTCGTATAAGATGCAGCTTATCTTTATATGCGCCACCTAGTCGTGTAGTATTAGCTAATTTGATGCGGACATGGCTAGATTATATGGCTAACCTTTTCCCCGCGACTCTCCCTTTTTTGTGGGCTGGGAACAGACGCTGCAGTAGATTTGGCTTCTACCACTTCCCTCTTAGCGGCCTCTTGTTTCTCAATTTCCTCGAGTCTGAAACCCAGAAGGTTTCTGAAGTTATTTAAATACGTAAATGAATTCAATTAAACACATTTGATACAGTACCAATATAACAGATATATGATTATATTGTAATTTTTTTCCATGTAGTATGTTGTACAGTTAGAAAGTAACTTTCAAAATCTGGCCATATTCTCCAAGGAAGGTTTTACTTGTTTCTTTGAATTGACATAGTTGCTTTGTTAGGTGCCTTTAGCATATGGTAGTGAAGTTTTCCGTTCCGTTCCCTGAGGTTCCGTTTATAGTTTTCCTTACTCACTATACCAGTACATTTGTACAATGGGATACGTCCGAGAAATATACAACTAGATGCAACTGGGCGAAGCGGAGTGTGTGACGGTTTCCGGCGTGTGAAAAGATGAAGAACTGACTGTACTAGTTTAATGGTATTAAGTAATCTAACCTTCTTACGGGTTCAGACGTGACCGATCTGCTCAGTGATTATTAATTTTACCTTTTGTGTTCCTCCTCAATTTTTTTCATGCGTTCTTTCTCAGCTTTAAGAGCTTCTTCCCGTTCCTTTTCTTCTCTAGCTTTTCGCTTTGTGCGCTCGAGTTCGGCAGCCTTTCGGCGTTCTGCTTCACCATCCTGGGACATCTTTTCAAAGCGCTCCTTCAGTGACCTCGCCTTCACGGTAATCTCCGGCCTCTCCTTTGTATACGCCGTTCCAGTTTTCGCCATCTGAATAAATTCCAAGTCAACCAAGTCGGAAATTAGGGGTTACAAACGGCGCAAGTGGTAGTCTCACGAGTAGAAGTCGAATCTACATGTGATGTATGAACGTAATAATTTGTATGGAGGCCTACTGAGAAAGCTTTGATTTCAGTATATTCAGCTAAAGCAGCAAATATATAGTGAAACGAAATTTCGGATAACACAGAGGAAAAGTACAATGCTTGCAGTAGACCTTCACCGTGTTCTGAAAAGCTATGGATTTTTTTACTTATGATTTTTAAACTGAATGTCTCGCTATTCTTATAATCTACCAAAGGATACCATCTGAAAACGCGTAGCTAAGTCCTAATACATTTCTATTAAATAGGTAACATTCTTTTTAGCTTGTCTAATAACAATCGATTAGGGAAAGTCAAGGGCATGACGGTCACTCGCCTCGCTAAATCCGTGCGCGGCTTTATCCTGCTTCCCTTTTTCCACACCAAACGCACCGCCGAATCCTTTCTTGCCGTCAGTCTGAGATGAATGGGCCTTGACCTGAAATAATAAGCGCAGCACAAATACACCTTGAGTTGTAAACCGAACCCTACGGTGTCGCGGATCTACGCCGATATTGCCAATGGGGGACGTAAAGCACAAATTGGCCGAATCTCTCTATTTAAATGTATGTGTACTGCGGATGCCTATTTTATGGGGTGAAATAACACTATTGGCAGGAGATTATATGTAGGTGCTTAATGGAAACAGATGAACTAGGCAGTAACTAACGTTGATATGACCTTCTGGAGATTAGCACTGCCAAATTCTAGGTAACCACCTTATTATTATACGAAACGACTTGAACGAGAATAAAATGTGAATATAATTTATTAAGTGCTCATAACTGCTCGTAGCTTGGTTAAACTTACGTGCTCCTTGTGTTCCCAGCCTACTGCGCAGCGATCTTTTCGATCCTGTTCCACGCCAAACTTTCCTCCGAACCCTTTTGAGTGGTCAGTCTGCGACGAATGCTTCTCAGTCTTCTCATGATGTTCCCAGCCAACAGCGCTCTAAAAAAAGAAAATATAAACAAAAATACAGGCTTATTTTGAATATCTTTGCTGCTTTTTGGGTGTTAAAGATATAAGGTAAATCTTAATTAACCTGGGTGCACTTACTTCTTTATTAGAAAATAAAACAAGCATCGTTATCAATAAAATATGATGAAACAATTATGAATCAGATTAATCGAAAACATACGAAACTGTGCTGGTCTCATTTTGGGTATATATATAAAATTTTAGGAGTAATGGAATATAGCTAAAAAAAAAAGTAAAATAGCAATAATACAAAATCATGTAGTGTCAACAATTTGTACACTCTGTGTTACAGAAATAGTATAAAAGGGATGGAAAACTTGTGCTATCTGCATGCACATACGGTCAGTAATTCCCTATCTAGAACGCCTTTTGGATTGATAATACAGGTCTAAATATTCTAAACTCGAAAACCTAAAAGAAGCCTTTTCGCACTTAATCGCTGGCTGCACCTTATCCTTTCGATCTTCTTGTAGACCAAATCTGCCCCCAAAGCCTTTGGTGTAATCCTTCTGTGATTCGTGTTTTTCAACCTGCTCCTTGTGGTTCCAGCCGACCGCACACTTGTCTTGACGATCTTCCTGTACACCGAATTTGCCACCAAATCCTATTTATTGGCAAACAATGGATCCAAAAAAATTGTTAGATCCTCAGTCATCAGCACAACGTAATATAATATCTTTACTGTAGACAGTGGATGTATATTGGCTGATTAAAAATATAAATCATCAAATGCCTTCTACTAACAAAAAAAAAAAAAGCAAAAGACAATGTTAGTGATTGTAACTGATCTTCAGCCTGACAGTCATCTTTTTTGTTCTCACCGGTACGAACCTTTGGCGTAGTCCTTTTGTGACTCGTGTTTTTCAACTTGTTCCTTATGATTCCATCCAACAGCACATTTATCTTGACGATCCTGTTGAATTCCATACTTGCCTCCGAAACCTACCGAAAATGCATCAATGAGGGAAACATTTTAGATGTAATCTTTTAGAGAAATTATTAGTGTTTGATTTATATTATTATATTATAAATATTAGTATCTCAATTGTGTAGCTAAGACAAAACACAACTTCACAAAAATCACTCAAAATAAGTTTAAAATTGTAAAAAAATGACCAGCCCATTGAATTAACAATATATGAGTAAACTCATTGGAACCTACGGTAGCGAATTAAACATAGAAATGTGTTCGGAATTTCAGCTCTATATTCAGATATGCATCAAGGTTACAAACCTTTAGCGTAATCCTTTTGTGACTCGTGCTTTTCAATTTGTTCTTTGTGATCCCAGCCGACGGCACTCTGTCGAAACGTGTGCGTGCTGTTAACTCAAACTCTTGAACGTTGCATTTTTTTAAACCTTGTGTTTTGCTTTAAGCGAAAGTTCCTTTACTTACATTAAATATTTCGATATTTACTGCTAATTAGTAATACATCAAGCGGACGCTTATATATATAGTTTATATAGATATATTATAGATATACAAACACTTTTGTTTTTTGTACGTATCATTTGATGATTAAATGATCTTTTACTGGTTGAACTACTATCCGAAGTATTACATATGCACTTATGCCATTTGAAGAAAGACGGTCTATACACATTCGATGAATCGCATGTTTCAGGTCAGTTTTTGTTAGATAAGTCCAAAGACGAACCTGATCTTGACGATCCTTCTGGACGCCAAATTTTCCCCCAAATCCGGTCGCATAGTCCTTTTGCGATGAATGTTTTTCGGTTTTGCCTACATATTCATGGCCGACTGCGCTTCGGTCCTGACGATCTTTCTGTACGCCAAACTTGCCTACAACGAGACATCAGATCTGTTAATTTAACTAAGTTTTCTTCTTACTGTGGAATTTTTTGACATTCATTCCCTCAGCCACGAACAAGAAGTATCGCGCTGCTGAAACGAGTGTAAGCAAATGTACCTTTCTGGCCGTTTTTTACAGTCCTGAATAAAATCAAGTTGGATATGTATAAAGTCTACAATTCTGCACTTATTGTACAACTGTTTTGTTTAGTATCAACAAAACTAATTAAATATACCTCCGTAACCGTAGTGTGAGGAATCAACGACTTCTCCCATGAGGGTTTTTTTCAATTCAGCATCTCCGTGAGTCACCTGGCGACGAAGGTCTTGAAAACTGCAATAAAAGCTATTACGGTAGTGATTTCCTCTTATGACGATAGCATCTGTTATAAGAAGTTAAACACTAAACGCCTAATCACAGATCAAGCCTCATATGCAAAGCATTGCTTGGTATTGTGAGGCTTCTGCGCTGCTTCCATAAGTGGATGCGCTACCTGGAACCACATATGACATCTAATGTTTCGGATTTTACGTTCGGTTCCACTAGCTTAGTACCTAATAATGCGATATGCGTCTACATGGTGATTTGAATCCACACTACCACGTGTTCGTAAGCTCGGTAGGCATACACGTCATGCGGACCACTGTACCATTATGGGGACTTACTTAAAACTTGTCAGCAATAAATGCATTTACCTGTTGAATGGAAGCCACACCTAACAACAATGAACAGGTGAACAAATTAAGTTAAGCTCAATTGAAGCAGGCTAGCGGAATTATGTAGAACTAATTGTAACATTCTGGTGTGACGATATCAATTATAGATTCGGTCTGAAACATACTTGCTGTTTATCGCAAAGGGAACAAAGAAAAAAGAAGCAGCAGACAAAAAACCACAACACTGAACATTATGGCATTTTCTTAACGCTGTGGAGAAGTCACTGAGCAACAAGAGGCCGCTTTCTGCGCTCAGCTTACCAACACAAAACTCTCGGCGCTTAGGTAAATTATCTGAGCAACGACTAAGATGGCCTTTAGTAGAAAGAAGTACGGAAAAAAAATAAAAGTTTCCATTAGCAAAACAGGCAAGCTTATGATGCATAGACCAATTTCAATCTGATCGTAATCTGCTAAAAAATACTGGAATTATGTTTTGCTTCGAAAGGAATAATAATCACACAAAGTAAAGTACACAAATGGCGCTGGAAGTTCAAACACTGAAATCTGAAGTTAAAACACTTGATCCGACAACGTATATTATTGAACGTATACAACAAGTGAAAGTACATAAAGACCGTATTAAACCTACAAATTTTCCCACTTGTACAGCCTATACAACTGTTAAAAAACGTTGTGATAGGAATGTATAATTTCATTGGGCATTTGATCGCGTCTTCGTGTGCTTGTGCAGTTACGTGTTTGCCTCTTAAACTTAGAGACAAGTGTGAGGTCGTCTGGATTCGACACCAGGCATGGGCACACTTTGTTGTCTGCTAAACGAAGCCAATCGCTCGAAGCAAAAATGGTTAGCTAAGACAATAGCACCGAACGACTTACAAATCGGAAGCATTTATATGTAAACATTTCACAGAATTTTTCGTTCCCTGAAAAATGTACAGTCGAACATTATAATCTCATAGATACTTTTAATATCGTTTGATGGCTGCAACACGAAAGAAGTTGATGGGGGCGGTACGATCTTTACTAAATAAATAAAATAAAAATAAACAGAAGATAAAAAGTGTTTATAAAGAATTATTTTCTCCTCACTTGAATTAGTAGTCAAATTAATTGATAATTAAACGATTAATGCAATGGTGTTAATCCATATGTGAGGTTCGGAATAATAAAAAGGTTTATTCTATATTAAAGTCAGATATAATTCCAACTTACCTTTAATTCAAAATGTAGAGCGGGCGGTTTTGCGATTTTCGTAAAAAAATAACGTCCCGTCTTAGGGAATACTTGTAAAAGATATTGCCGCGGGTAAAAAAATTAGTTGGAAAAGTAATATCCCAATAGAACTCAGATACATATGGTATGGCGCCGGGGGATATCGATGTACACATTTTTATAAACAATCCTCTATGCCGACAAGGTCGGAAACCATAGATTTATTTTCGCGGACCATTTGTTCCGTGCTGAAAACCAGCCGTTCAAAGTAATGTCTAACGGCGTAAACACCGGACGAAAAAACCCATTTATTTTCAATAAATAATGAACTTCTGGCAAGATATACGGAACAGAGCGAAAATTTAATGAACTACCTATTTTATAAACAGCAAGCTGCTTTTGGTCATAGTGCATATGTTATTGATTTATAAAATGTGATCGTTAATTTATAAACTTCAAATTGGGCTTACTATCTTAAACAACAAAAAACAAATTGTACATATTCTCAAGCACCATTTACTAGTTACTGACTTAGGTCTTAACTTTCTTTTGTCAACAATTAGTGTGGCAGTAGAACAATATAACGATAAGACTTTCAACAATCGTTCGCGCCCTTTCAGTGCAACAGTATAATAAGTAACAATAAGCGTGACTTTCGACAAAAATCGTACGTGCGAGAGTACCACATAGAAATGTATGAAGATTTGAAATTTGTGTTACTATGCGATCGTTAACGACCATGAAGGACTCATTGATGGAATGCTCAAAACTTGAATACAAAGCTGCGCCTTTTAATTGACTGAATCTTATTCAATGGATCGGAGGTAGCGAACACAATGGCGACTGCTGTAATACAGTCACCTTCCAGTTTGACGTGCCCTAACACAACGTTATAAATGACTCAGTAACCCAGCCCAATTAGATCACTCGAGTTGTTTTGGCTTATAACACCCTTTCTCTAATGAATACGATGTTCAAAAAAGGATTTCGCACTGCATTAATTAGGCGGAAAAGCTGGTGTACTGCAATGAGTTGGTGTTGAGTTTAACAAGAATGGAATCGATGGTGTTCGATAAACAAGAGAGAAAAAAAAACAGACTTGTGAAATACTTTGTTCTACATACAGCATTGATGTATCGCACTACGGGAAAAAACTACCTATTAATACTTAGACTTGCCTTTTAGTGCAGTACTTGCCTACTACTTACGCTTAAAAAGCCAAAAGACTCGCTTCTCTTTAGTATATATGCGCATACAGGAATTATTTAGAACAAAACAAATTGTATTGACCCGTTTAACATGTCTAATAACTATGCCTATATATATATATATATATATATATATATATATATATATATATATATATATATATATCTCATTTATGGTGCGCATATGTGACTCTAGTTAAGACTAATTTGGTACAAACATAGTCAGTCATCATCAGTGGATGGATGTGCTACATACATTTAACAATCGTGGCATAGATTTTTTTTATGTGAAACAGAGTTTCTCAACAATCCTGAATTTTTTTATATTGGATGATGGTCAAATGCGACAGTTAGCTTACAGATTGAAATACACCCTGGAAACTGACTCACTCGCTGTTTCTTTAGGAAATCTATTGTTCGCAGCCAGTCCCAGCCTTATAAACCTTATGGCTGGGGATGTTCATCCCGTTAGATACAGGACCCCAATTGTCACTTGTGCGTTGATGATATCAACACCGTCAAACGTTATCGCTAATGGCTAATAAAGAGAACAGATTCACCAAAAAAACTGGAACTGTTGTGTCAAGCGTGACCTTACAGTCATCGAGTTATTCCGTTTCCTCTGTCTATTTGTTGTTTGCTGCGTTACACATTCATATATTGCAAATTGTTGTTACTCGTTGCAATAACTTTTACTGACGTACAAACATCGTAGATCACCCATACCTCAATGACTCCAATTTGGTCTTTGGAATTATTATTATTGTTATAGCAATCTATAGATCTCAACGAATGGACATTGCGGCTTGCATGGCCAAGCTTCTCATTCAAAGATACCAGAAGACGCCGCTTCAAACTTTGTATCACTGACACATAACTACATGTGAATAAACGAAGTTCTATCTAAACGAGGAGGATCTAGCGAGAAGGCCTGCTTAGCCTCACCAAATAACGTATGCATTTAGTTCATCACGTTGTTTATATGCGGCTATTCATCATTAAGTCAAGTACGGTTACTTACTCGAAGGCTCCACCGCCTGTACGGCCGCTTCCTTCGACGGTTCGACTGCCCCATCGCTGTTCCTCTTCAGAAACGTCATTGACGAACGAGGGATCCGTCTCCCAATCATCGTCTTCTCCAGCGATGAGAAGTTCGCGTGGGACACTCGCCACCGCTTTATGCATCTGGAATTGCCAAAAAGAATCAAAAAGGGCTATGATCGAAAAGGTCTGTGTTCGAAACAATTTCATGCAGTTCTCTCATTTTCTGAGAGAAAAATAATATCATCTTTCATCCAGTACTTACACGCTTACATTGAAATAATGTTCCAAGTTTCACATTGGTATTATTATTACTAGTATCATGACTGCCTTAGTCAGACGACACAGTGGTAACGTGTTGGAGGGGGACACCAAACCTCTGAAACGGTGCTTAACTAATAAAATACGGGACATAAAACTTTACTAACACATTTAAGTTACTAACATTCCTGTAGACGACACGGACGCTGAAAGAGAGATATGACTGTAGAATGAGCCACAATCAAATTATTAAATTTCCTTATTTACCAAAATCCACTGAATTTATTAACTCGTTTACCTATAATTCACATATTTTCGGTTGCAATGCAAACTTTCATTAGCAACTAATGGCTAGCAGGTAGTATCGTATTGTATCTTAGACTCGAATGACTCTGCAAACACATTTATCAAGCAGTAGTTCCGACTTCATGTCGTTCTGTCATTAAATATCAATAAATATCCCTATTATTATCAGAATACAGTGCATTCAATAGCAATTTCTTTAAGTCCTATTAGCCTTGCTCAGTATGTACCGTAATATCTTTCAGAATGTTTGCTTTTACTTGTGCTCGCCTGTTCGCGGTACTACGACAACCATTTATTTATACATGTTTATAATTTGCCGATTCTAACATACAGAGCATAGGCAGTACGAAGAACGTGTTTAGAAACAATGCCTAAGCTGACTATTTGGAGAGCAATAGCTCGTTAGCTATAATACCCTTTAGAGGTTTCGCCTCTTACCTTACGATAGTGTCCCTTTTTCCTCTAGGTCATCTAATTAGACGCTTCATCACCTGGTAGTGGAGATTTTTTTCATTTTAATGCACTTTAATGTATATCTTCAGCAGTCGGTTGTTATTCGACAGACCATTACGAGTACCTCTAAATTGCCTCAGTCAAATGCATGTTTAAAGTTACTAGTATCACTGGAAGCGATCACAAGCTAGCGTTTTACCGAAACATTCTGTGACTATTACCATTTATGTGTAATAACAACCTCACTATAGCACGAAAGCTGTTTACTTTCTTATCAAATTTATCTAATCAGTATCTAGCTAGCAGAACGCTACGAATATTTTAGAACGCAGCCCATTCAGAGCATCCGAAAGTATGCTACTAAGTAGAATTGTGGTTATGTGTTCATCGCATTTAGAATATGACGACAGATTCTGCAAGTCAACTGTCTTGATTCTGATCGACTGAAGATAAATGTTCTTTGTCGGGCGAATTTCGGAATTCAGTCGCTTGACTTTGAGTAATACTTGTTTCGAGATGTTTTAATCCTATCCACATATGTCCGCGAAAAGAAAAAACCCTTCTATAATATAATCTGAAATTCAATTTGACAATTATAACCGATCTAGAATTTCTAAAATTACTTGGAAACCTGTTAATTGAAATTCGTCTGTGGTGGAGACACTGGATCGCACTCGGGACTCTTGCCTCTATTAATGCGATACTAAATTAGAAAATATCTAAGATTGTATACGTACATTGATCGTTTTAGTTGTTCACGCTTTGTAATTCAGTTGTAATCCTGCTAGAATGCCAGTTATAGCCTATACAACACACTAGCGAATTATAACGAACCATGCAGCAGTATGTAAAGTCTTCCCTCGTTTGAAAAATTTCGAGATACCAATACGTTCGAATAGACGCATAACAGTTTCGACCTGAGGAACCAGCTGAGCAACGGCAGCTAAACATCAAGCGCTTAAGACACTGAACGAAACTGAAAGGATATTTTAGTTACACAGGAGAATAGTGATCATACTTAACGGAAGTTAGATCTTATCAATTGAAGTTCTAATTAACTGATATAACGAAGAAAATGTGAAATGCAGTCTATTTGACCGATTGAGCCCTTTTTATTAAATGGCTAAATTCATCTTCTTTAAAGAGGTAAGTAATGTTGCAGTTAATACCAAATGTGTCAGTTTTCAGCCATAATTGCCACAACAAAGACGAAGGAAAGGAATTACTCGAAAAACACGAATGATTTCTCTGACAACAAAGTAGGCGAAAAGAATTCTCATCGAACAAAATAGCAAAGTAGTTATTGTTATTATTACTAAGTATCGAGAAGGATCTCAGATATTAATTAAATAAAGACGTGCATATATACACTTATAATTGCAGTTCGTTAGTTTTGCCGGAGAGAGAACAGCTGCATATACATCAAGAATGATCCCGTAAATTCAGGAAATAAACGCTTACGTAGTTTACGTAATTGAAACGTTTTCTCTAATTGTAATATATTCGTTGGTACAACGAATACAAAAATTAATATCTACAACTATATTATTCCATTTATCCCTCGCCGAATAAGGCTTGTCGATTCGCTCCGCAGTGAGAACATTCAAAAAGCTGATGAGGGTTTAAGCACTTTATACGGCTCAACCTTGAAATTGTGTTATCGACGTAACACTATCGTAATCAAGACAAGCTCACAACCTACATCTAATAGAGGAATGGCCTAAATAGCCACGAAATCATTCATCATCGCTGGAATAACTAACAGATATATATACGTATCTGTGGAACTGGTCGACCCAGATTATTCCCTGGCCCTTCTGTATATGCATGAAATAGACCCAAAGTTGAATTTATTTCCACATAGACTCATGGAAATATTTCCTAGTTATTAATTATGCTGATTTATATAGTGACCAGCCGCTCCAATCAGTGGGCTGTGGACTTAATGACTCACAACGGCACAAAGTTCAATTTTGTCTCTACCGTTTCCCATCTATGTACTGTTATGGTAATCCTGTAAATCTTGACGTTTAAATTTGACAGGCAGGGGTACTTTGGCTGATTGGCTAACTCGATTTTTCTCTTTGCTTGGATCCTCAAAATAATTAACAACGCTATTATGAGGCGCTGCCTACTCCAAGGAGAAATTTTCTAACAAATTATGATCCTCGGCTTATGTACATACATATTTAATTATTTATCGATTTAATTGCAATTCTCCTTAGTTCTGCTCGCACAGCCATATAGAACTAGTTAGCGAAGTGCTAAATCACGAATGCGGAAACCACTTGTTTTTTTTTGTAAATAAATCAAAACTGACCCACGCTTTTCAGCAGTCATACAAACGCCGCCTATTGTAATCATACCTTTTTATTTTCATTATCTATTGAAATGACACCGAATGGCAATTCACCAAACTCTGCACCTTCGCAAAAACATGATCGCTGACGCCGACGCCTTTAATTTGATACGGCTGACAAACACACTCAAAGTTCCATATAATTTGTCGTTCTACCATTCGCAGTGAGACTCTGAAGAATGGGGGCATGTTTGACGACATCTGTTATAAACTCAAACCAGCATCACCCATCTGTCCCGACTACTTACCCTGCTTACGACGGCTCTATAGACTACACAACAAAAGCGTCGCCGGTCAGTAACTCACGAATAATCGAACGAGACAGAAATTAATTCGGTGACAACACGCACAGTTACATCAGATATGACACTTCACAGCCAACAAGAATGACGCACGCCGGGCTCCCTCGCACCAGAATTATTGCTAGGTGGCTGATGTTGGGAAATGACCCAATGTAAATAAATTGTGGAAGGGGAAATAAAGGAACTGGCTAGTCGTCTGCTATAAATTAACCCCGCGACGGTGAATGTTTGAATCAGGTAGCGGGTTTGGCTAGTGTATTTAGAATAATGACAATAATTTTAGAAGTAACAGTAGCTAATAGTGAAAATTGACATTGAAATGTTGGACATTAGAAATGAATTCAAATAGTTGAGCTGTTAGTAGTAAACGAAACGGATTTTAATCAAGTTTGTTTCAATTATGGGATTAAAGTAAGACGTAGCTTACGCTACACTTAGGAGATTATTTCGCTGTTGTCAAAGTGAACCATGAATTTAACGGTATATATATATATATATATATAAGGCTATGGTAATGAATATGTGTTATACAATTTCCTAGTTTTTATATATGAATTGGGCTAGGCTGTTAAAGCATTGAACTACGGTAAAATTTTGCAAACGAAAAACTTGTTCATGATCACTCTTAGTTTTTAGCAATAACAAAAATTAATTAATTTTTACTTTTTGTATTTTATATAAGATTTCTATAGATGTATGTACCATATAGCAAAGCTCAAGACAGCTTTTACCGACCTAAAAACACGAGACTTCACATTTAACGACACATTTTGATCTTCAATATTATAACGTTTTATAATTGTTTACTCAGTTTATTTTTCACACACAATGTAAAATTTATATACATACATACATACGCATACATTGATGAAATGTGTTAGCATGGAGTATTTACATTTACTGCGTTAAAACTATAGACATTCTATACACAGAGTCGAAAATATAATAGGTATATATGGGCGTTAGAAAAATGAGTGGTTCCCAGTTCGCCAGTTTGTTCAACGGCCTCATCTGCTGGCCGCATACACTAATTGTAAGAAACTCATCGCAGCAGCTATTACGAACTAACAGATTCGAAGTATCGTTTGGTTCATGATACCTCTGCGGCTCGCACACTCGGTGGTAAAAAAAAAGTTTAACAACAATTAAACCGAAGCATTCATCTGGTTGTATTTCCTGAATATAGATGTCCTCTAGAATGCAACTCCGTGATTTCCCTCCGCTATATTATTCGACAATTATATCCAGCATTTGACTGAAATAGAACATACTGGCCAAAGATGTATCTAAATTTAATTTTTCCCTACAATAGTTGCTTCTCGTTCATTTTTTTTCAGTTTTGACAGCTGTCTATTTCAAGAGATTTCTGCCACTATTCTTTTGTTCTCCCACACACTATATATATAGATGGTGTACCGATGACGTCCTTGTCTGCTTGTTCGCATCGGCGAAAGCCAGGAAATCTTCGCAAATGACTCGCTGGTACCACAGATAATAACTGAATCAAGAAAATTCCAGTTGGGCTAGATGCCAAGGTAATATATGTATGCATAGTTTTCCGAAACGATTCTAGCTAGATAACAGATTATGCCATCGACTCAATCAAAGTATCTATCGACGCACGACAATGCCATTCAGCTTTCAAGCTATAATTGAGTACATGACCTTATGACTGTCTCTCGCTTCTAATAAAATATCCGATGAACTTAGAGCATAGAGTAAACGGCTTGTAAAGAGTGCTGTCGCACTGAGCGATTGCTTATTTTGGGAATGGCGACTGTTTTTACAGCTCGCAGAACAAGCAAGTGACAACGCGAAAACCCAGGTAGAAGCCAACGATGTCTTGGAAAACCATCCTCTCCTCTACAGTCTCCTCAATGAGCCTTCGAATGGCACTGCAGAAGTGTTTGATAGCGACTTGCCTCTACCGGTTAATTATATGTGTTTCGACTGCATAAAGTAAACGCGCGTGATTCAAACTGTGCCCCGATAACTTAGTGAAGCCACATCCCATTTCATTGTATTGGTTCTAGCCAGATCGCAAGAGTAGAACAGTCAAAACTGACCGGGATTGCAACAAAAATCGTGGCATCGAAGCCTCTGAAACGCTAGCCGATATCGCTACGGGGAGTCTGCATATGAAATGTCGGTTTAAGGCCTGTAAGCTTCAAGTATGACTCAGATCGCTTGGCTAGACAATTTCGTGGTCGCCACAGAGAATAGTAACGGGGTTATGGTCGCGATATCAAATTTGCTGAAGTTTGGGATGTACCATCTAACAATCTGTGAAGGCTTTCTAATGATGTCCAAACAAATTTTCTGCGGCTCGCCTCAAAATCTGCTGCTGCTGCTACTGCTGCTTTGAGTTTATGCGTAGCTCCTACTTTTCCGCAGTAAGGGGTACTTTCCTATGGGCTACGAGTCTTTCTGGAACGGCGCAAAAGTCAAATAGATTTCCGTGTCACTGCCGATACTTGTGCTAGCGATGAGATTGTTAATTTTATCAGATCGGCCGCGTAATGCACTAGAAGTTAGCGCTATCGATAGAAGTTCGATACTTAACGTCGTTTTCGAAATAGATCGATCTGTTATCCTGGACCAGATTGGTGGGTACTAAGGAGTAAGCGTAAAGCAATAAGCTTAACAATAGGATTATACATAACGGACGAGCCCAGTCATAATATGAGCTAGCCTTGCCTCTAATCAATCGAAGTGCAGGCCATTTTGTATTATATGTAGTAAAACAGACTTTAGTATCTCTAGAATTCCTTCAAACCTTCAGGGCCTAAATATTATTTTATTAGCTGTTGCTTAATAAAATATCGTTTAGTGAGTACCAAAAAGATTCTCCATAAGCGTGTGACGTAACAGTCATACACAGTTCATTTAAATAAATTAAGCTAGTTCAAAGTTTGGGAACGTAACTTAAAATAGCAAATCAAAAAATATGACTTAATTAAAATTAGTGTCAGGTCTTAATATATTAGTATTATTGCTATCCCTATTATTCGAATTATTATTTCGTGAATGATTAATGAATAACCTAATAATTGAATTTACCATTACAATTATTATACTGTGCGCCCGATATCGCTGTCGAGAAAGCATATCTGCATGAAGTTCTTCACAAAATGGCTGCTTTTTTTGATCGCTCGCACAGTTTCCAAATGAAATTCTTTTTAATCTCTCTATCAGAAATAACCGCTATAAACCTCATAGTTGGGTTAATTCTTTGTCTACTTATATCAACGATCAATCGTAAACTTATTTCTATAGGATAGAAATATATAGACGGGCAAAAACGGTGCGGTAATTGACTGCTGGATTGATCGCCGCTAGTTAGAGACGCTAATTAGGAAAGGGCTCGGTCCAGTACTAAGAGGGCCGACACCGTGCTATTAACACATGCAAAAATATACATAAGATCATGCACTAAGTATAGGCGTGACGCAGGACAACCAATTTCAAGGGAAGACTGAATTCGTCCAGAAACTTCAAATGGTTTCCGCTTTTTGCGTAAGCGAATGCATCTTCTAGACCGTTCTAGAATAAACTTTTTGGCTGCCATTTTCAATTCATTAAATTTACGTTATATGTACGCAGTTCAAAGATGTCGATGCTATTTCTATTGTACCGTTTGTTGTACGCGCAAGCCAATATTGCAAGTGTATGTTTATGCGAAATATATGTTGTTATTGATATTATTTTCCTTTTGTTTGTTCCCGTCGTAGTTTGCTTCATATCAATTACGTTCCACAAGCACGTTTGCTAGTAGGGATGGTTTGCAGTTCATGTTCCGTGACTGCACGGACATTCTGTGAATGTAAATTAGGTGCTCGATACCCTATTGCGAAATCAGCAATATTTATTTATCTAAAATGTCTGCGTTTGATGCTATCTTCAGCCAGAATCAACACTGGGGTTAAACGTAAAAACGGAACAGGTGAGAAAGTAAACAATAGTCATTCGAACTTAATCTTGACGTAATGCTCCATAAAATCCGCGTCCACTCTTAACTCAACCATGCGAATTTCCCTGTTATTATCAAAACAGTCCGTAGTGCGTCCGAGTAACCTCCCATTGCTGACGCAATCTGTGTCCGGATTAACTTTGCATAAGATCCAGCCGGCCATTGGGATCCTGTTACACCCTATTTTGTTGTTGACAGTAGCAGGCATTCAGCAGGCCTCGGCGGTTGTTATTTCTTAGTTTACATATTACATACAGATATTTTCTTTTTGGATCTACGGTTCCTAAAGGTCTACTGTTGCTCAAACTCTCACTGAACGCCCCTGTGAACACAACTTGGTTTGAGTGCAGATATATATATCATTGCCCTTCAAGGCTTATGCGAGGGCAAGCTTGCACTGCGTTAGGAGTCTAGTTTATAAAAGTCTAGGTAAAATATTCGTCCAGCTTAGAATTGCGAACCCTTTCCTGTACTGAAATCTAGCGAAACCTTTTACGTAGCCCATCGAACAGGTGGGCCGCTCCACTGATCGACATTATACCCACTCAGTAAGGCCCAGATTTATGCGATTCTGAGCAAGATGTTCAAAAAGTTCATTGACATTTGCTCGATCGTGGTATTTGTTGTGCTTGGTCTATTTTGCAAGCTGCGTGTTCGGTCGGGAAAATTCATCTAGAACAATGCTCGTATCCAAAAAAAGAAAAGTAGGCAGTCTCTGTTA